AAAATTGACCTTTAAATGAGTCTGTGTTATAACAGTGTCATACCAGTCAGCACAAGATAAATGCTTTCCTGTTATGTAAATTACTGTAAAGTCAATAACCACAGACTTTTCTCTCTCCTTCTTTCCTCCCCTCACTCCTGGTTCCAAAATAAAATGTGTTTCTTCAAAAAGGGAATTTCCTATTGAAGGGCCTAGTGAGACCTGAAGTGCCACTCTGCTCGAGTGGCACATGTGGATACTTGTTATCAACTGCTAAAGAGGGAGAAAAGTACTTTTCTTGGTAGCAAAACACAGAATATTGAGGGAGCTCTACTGTTGTGTGTGCACTTTCACTGCAGGGTGAGGTGGGGGACAAATTACTTAAATATTTACTTGCAGTTTGTAAAGCTACTTAAAGAAGACATAGCAGTAGCATATAGATTCTGCTAGAGGATGAAATGTTTTAGTAATAGAAGATGAGTAGCCATGAATCTATTATGTGATTGCAGCTGAAACTTTCAAGAAGCGATGAAGTACCATGTGCTACAKGCTAGGAATGTGCTATTAATATGGTGCTGGAAAACTCTTGTTTTTTTTACTATCTAATGAATCTATTTAATATAGTGGAGTCAATTAAATGATGGGCACTGCAGAAAGAGGATGTATCTAGTGGAGCATGTCACTCATGCCACCTTGCCATCTTCTATCGCCTGCTCTCATAAAAGACTTCTTCGGAATCTATTGCAGCATCTTTTTATAAGATACTTGCCATTCTCATTCTCATTTTACATAAAACTATTATAAAGATCGTATTAAGCAATTATTTTCTGTCTTTCACTGATAGACTGTTGAATAAATGTAGACTGTTCTTCTAACTTGTATTTGAGTTCTTCTTTGACATTCTATCCTAGGCAAAACTTGCTTCTAAATCATTATGTATTCTAAGCACACAGCCTGAATTAATCCTTTTCCTGTTGTTGTTGTGTCCTGACAAGGATAGATCAGATGGTGAGTAATGACAAATAGCATGAAAGAGGTGGCTGAGGGTCACGCYAACCATTTATTGCTAAAAAAAGTTGAAAACCGGGTGAAGAGGAGGCATAGGACTCAACTGTGTCCTTTCTGGGAGTATTCTCCTAAGTTGCTGTTCATCTGCTGAACCTTCTGCGAGGCAGTGAACAGATGTAAAATAGCTTAGCACAATTAATAAAGTATGTTTAAAAATTCACAAAGTGATTATAGCCATAGATTAGTGCAATGAAGGTTAAAATAAATGCTTACATAAATCTGGCAAGTAGGGAATTTGGTATTTGCTAACTCTTGCTATGAAATAGGCCTTAGCTTTATTTCCTCAAAAAAAAAAAAAAAAAAAAAAAAAAGGTCTTTCTAGTATGTGAATTAAATATCATTTATTTATATCTATGAAGTAGGAGGGACAGATGTGTAATCTGAAAATGCAAATTTACTTGTCATATTGTGGATCTCAAGGGACTCATGTCAGTGTTATCTTGTCACCACTGCAATGCTAACAAAGAGCTTGCTAAACTGAATTCACTTCCTAGGCCTTCCAGTGTATTTCAATTGTTTCTGTTGGTTTCTCAGGAGTTTTTCTCTCAGGGCTTGTCCTGATTGGGTTTTAAATATCTTGTTAGATGAYGTTGGCTGCCATCTGCTACCTTAAGTACTAGAACAAAGGGCAGTGCGTTGCTGTGCATTACGATTGTTGACTGCAGAATTAGGCACTTCCCCTAATCTTATTTCCATGTTATACCTGACTTGCGTGGAGATGGTATCAGGTGCCCAGTGACAGGCTGTACATTTCTTCCAGTATTTTTATGCTGTAATATAGCTTCTAAATTGGCTGCAATCTTACAGTTATACCTTTAGTAACATGAAGAGCAGTAAAATAGTAATTAATAGTAAAATAATAATAAAGCTAACAACCTTAACGTATTTGACATGAAGGTTCAGAGATTAGCTGTTCATCCATTTGCCTTAGGCTTTAAGAAAGTTTCTATGGAATATGAGATCAAACTAAGCCACAGTCCGGTACAGTAAGGCTTGTGCTGCAAGGTTTCTTTTTTCAAATTTAATCTCTGCTTTGATAGAAATTATGCTAGGTGTATTTGGAGGACTCTGTAAATTTGAGCAAAGTAAGTTCTTTGCTCTCTGTCTCTACTGTCAGGACCCTGACACACCCTGGGTTCTTGCTCAAGGGTGTGCAATCTAAGGATTTCTGATATTCATAACTTCTCTGTAATTAAACTAGTAAACCCCTTATTCTTTTAACAGCCTGAAATGTTTTCCCCTTGCCACATAAAATAAATCGAAGTTCTATTTGCCAGCCTTACTCTGGAATCATGGTCTGATCTTTGAAGCTCTCTGTAAGCCTTGCTTTCAATCTGTAGAAGAGGCTTTGTAAAAACCAATGAGTTTTGTGCTTGTCTGCGTGTACATCCATTGAGCTCCATGTCCTGGGACTCTGGGCAGTGGAAGTGGCTCTCTGGCGTATCAGACTGCTCTGCTCCTCCTGGAAATCAGCAGGGAATTCTTTTGGGGCTATGCCAAGAATCTATATGTTGTTCATATGAGCAGAATGACTTCCACTGGACATGGCTGAGCTGGAAAAGATGTGATCTAGTTAGTGGCAGTTATTTCCTGAGGAAAAGCCTCAGTTGGCTTCTCAGGTTTTGTTACCTAGAGTTTTCTGGAATTAATATAGCATCAAGATGGGATTAAACTTTAGCAGTAGAGGATGAAATGCACCTTTTTGCCTTTCTGCCCACACTGTCTCTGTAAGCAATGGTCTAGCCTCACAAAATTAAAATTAAACATAACTAATGCTGTTTTGCAAAAATAAAGAGGGTTGATACTAGTAAACCATAGCTGAACATTTCTGGAAGACTGAGAAAATAAATCTGATTTATTATAAATTTATTATAAATCTGATTCCCGAGTAGTAAGCAAATCTGGATATGAATTCACTCTGAAGGTATTGACTGTTAAATAGTTTTAAAAGGAGTCAAAGAGGCTGATATTTATCAAGTAATAAACAAAGATTGCTGAATATTATGCCTTCATAAATAGATATTACTTGGAGGAAGTTTTAAATGATATTTTACAATGCCATGATTTTAAGGACTTTGGGAAACAGCAAGGGTTATTTTATGTGCATTACTTGGAGGACATCACCGTGGAAGCACTGAACAGCATTTTCTCAATCCCTCAGTTTTTGAGGGAAATAGTTGCTGCAGCTAAGACAAGAGATCACAATAATGACAAGTAAATCAGGTGGTTTGAAGAGATTATACTCAAAGCCCTTTTTTTTTTTTTGAAATTTTTATATTTCAAGTAAAAAAAAAAAAAAAAAAGATGGAGGTACCACCTGACTTCCTTTTCTCCATAATTGTAAGCAGGTTACATTGCTTTTGTTTGGCAAGTCATTAGTTATTAACTGCAGTGGTAAATTTGCCCTTGTAGCAAATGATGCAAAGGGGAAAAGCTGTCTGTTTGATTACAATAACAGAAGCATTTAACAATTGGATTTACTTAGCTAGATGTTAATTGATCCACTTACAGCCTCCTGCAAAGAGTTTGTGTTTGTTGCACAAATACTAAAGGGAGCTGGAGGTGAAAATTAAAAGACATCTGGTGAATTCAAAGTTATGAACTGCCAAACTTGACCGAAGGAAAACTACATTTCCAAAAGGTCTGATTCAGTGGTGAACATTAAAAATAATTCTGTGAAGTTTAATTGTGGATAGTGATGTGAACCACTCTGGTCTCTTTTCTCTATTTTCAGAGGTGGCCACCACTGGAAAGGATTAGACTCAGAAACCACCAAAGACTAGAGGAAATGGCCACAAACTGAAGCATCAAAAGTTCTGCAGGAACTTAGGGAAAAATTTCTTGACAGTGAGGGTGACAGCGCCCTGGAATAGGCTGCTTAGAAAGGTTGCGGGGTCTCCTTCTGTGGCGATCTTCAAAACTCACTTGGACACAATCCTCTGCCATGTGCTCTAGGTGATCCTGCATGTGCAGGTGGGTTGGACAAGATGATCTCTAAAGGTCGCTTCCAACCTTAAGGCTTCTATGGTATCACTATTTTGTAATTTTAATTTGCACATGAGAAAGATAATTTAGGTAGTCTAAATGGATAAAGATCCTGAAGGAAAGAAATTTCCGTGTCTAGAAATCTTTCAGAGACACCCAAATAACCACTGCACTGAAATTTGGCAACCAGGATACCCCTAACCTTGTGTAATGTGATAAAAAAGAATTTAAGTAGACAGCTGTTAGCGACTTTCCTTAAGCCGAGTAGTGTCTTTAACCTGAGATGTACAGATTTTTCACCCTTCTCCCTCTTCTGGAACCTTTCTATCTTATTTAAAGTTACACGTTTTTTAACAGCCCCATGACAAGTACAGGAGCTCCTCACTGTTAACTGCTGGCTTGTGTATCCCTTCTGAGTTAGGAGGGATATCCACTGGACTATGGAGACCGAGCCAGATGAATAGTACTGTGACTGTCCTGWGGGAGAAAAACAGTCTCTGTGTTTTACCTGCTTGACTAGGCCCAAGTGTAATTCCCTGAGTTTCCTACTCTTGAAGAAACTACTCATTTCTTCAAAATAAGAAATAAAATCAATATGTTGTCTCTGGCCGGAGCATATGGAAAGGATTTGCCCATTGGATATGCTATTGAGAAGTACTGGTTTTCCAAAATATCCATTTATATYTTCACTTAATTTGAGAAACTGGGTTTCATTTCTGGTGGAATACTCCAAGTAAAGCAGTGCTCCATTGCAGATGATGGTAAAAGTCACAGTGAGTTCAGTGAAATCAGACTTCAGTGTACATTAAGCCACAGATGATAGTTAGAAATTCCTTTCCTACAGCAATAAATGTGATTTCTGTTTAGATGAAAAAATGAGCTCATTGGTTCTTAAGCTTGCATCTCACTTTACACCCAGCATCCTCTAACTTGATGTAGTAAAGAAGTAAGGTGCACACACATTTATGGTATTTAGTATTTTTAATTGGCATTTCTAACAAGAATTTTATTTGGAATTATTTATTTAAAAATAATTAGATAAAAACATTTTATGCAAATTCTGACTATACAATTCTAATGTCATCTTCATCTCTTTACTGGCTGCCTTGTCCTTGATGATACACATTACTGGTACTTGGAGATATGGTGGTAGATCAGTACTTTCTACTGTTCTTCACTTTTCCAGCAGCAATAGGCTCACTGGACCTTCTTAAAGACTTGCTTGCACTTGACTCCACACACTCTTATTTCCTAGGAAGAGACAGTAGAAAAATACAGCTTTTACATAGGACTCATGCTCTGTATATTCACTTATATCTCTAGCTTAATTTGATTTTGGTTTTCTATTGAATTATGACATGTAATTTGTTTGCGTGTTTGTATATCTGTTATTTCTTAATCTTAGAAGGAACTAGCATTTTTGGATTTTTTTTTTCTGGAAAAAAAAGAGGAATGAGAGAATTTATCTCAGGATCTCAGATCTTCAAGAGCCAAATTTGTTCCCAGAGCACTACTGTCTGTTTGTGTACACAATCTCTTTGCTTTTAGAAGTGGCTCTTTTCTGTTTGGGGCACCTAAGCAAATTATTCAGAAATAGATTTGAAAAAACAGTTGTGAACAATTGTGTATGGGAGATGGGAGCAAGGCACAGCACAGCAGAAGCTGACCACCCTGGACATCTCTACTGTTCTGACATTTTGTGTCCCATGGCAGTGTTTTAGAAACCTCTGATTGCTCATAATTGCACCATGGTGAACTGCACGTGGGCAGGGGCATTGATTTAAAAGGCATACTGCCTTTTACACTAATTTCACTGAATATTCAGTTAAATACTTTCTGTGAGTTTGGAGAATCCATATGTATATGCATGTAGGTGTTGACTAGTTTTGGTAGAAGAAGAAAAATGAGTGGAACTTGTTAAGGCCCCAAAAGACAAAATTTATGACCTAGCTGAACAGACATACTTTCTGTTCTGAAATATAAGATTAATAAAGCTGTGAGAACATTCTGTAGAAGCAGGAGGCAGAGCTTCCTGGGTCGTTCTGTACATTTTCTTATATGGACTGTGAAAAAATAACATAAAAAAACCTCTGCTGGGTCAGTAATCCCATTGGAATATGCTGCTTGAATTTTAAAAGCACTAATAAGAGAGAGTGGCTCATGATGAATAGAGGCAACAAGCAGACCGATACAGTGATTTTAGATAGGACCTGTTTTGTTCACTTTATATATAGGTAACCTGGAAGAAGGACTGGGCAATAAGGGCTAGGAGATGTGCTGACAATGATAAAAACCTACAGAGCAGAAGCAATCAATACAATAGAAAAGGGCAATAAAATTCAAACGGAAAAGGAGAATGGTCAAAGAAGTCACTCAACTAAAATAGAATCTGAGGGGAAAAAAGAGCTACAAAGTAGAAATGATAGAATGAAATGGTGAAAACAGCAGGTGATAAACTACCAAAGGATATAGTACTATTCTCCACAGAACTGTGCAAAGAATTAAATTAATACTTGGCTCATTGTGTAAAGTTCAATAGGATCATAAAACTATCGAAGTATCAATTTTTTAGAAGTAACTGCCCATTGTATCAAAGAACTCTCAAGAGTACCAGACCTAGTGATCTTAGCTGGTCAAAAATAAGATAAGAAATGGGTCTCTCTTTTACTGTATGTTTAATGGAGAGAGTTACATTAATGAGGATTCTGAGGAGTAAAGAGAATGTCTTTGGAAGTTAATGAAATACAAAAAGTGATAAAACTGAAATATTGCAGATTTGCCTGTGAAATGTGTGGGCCTTCTGTTGTAGGAAGTAACCTTGTGTTGACTGTCGTGTACATGTGAGACAGCTGATGATAAATTGCACAAGTGTCAGTGAGTGCATGAACTCTTGCATGGACTAGCAGATAGGAGATGGAGTCGTCCCAGCCTTCTCATGTAGCAGCCTGAGATCACTCAAGTTATCTTATGTATCTAAAGCACTAGATATACACCTTTAAGTAAGTGAAACCTTGTTTATGACTTTGGAAATGCTCACTGGCCAAGGATAGAAAGGAGTCTGGTCTGGCGATCCATGGTGAGGCTCTACAGCCAGAGCGTGGATCAGTATGGATGGCAAAGGTCTTGGCCAAAGAGTTTGATATCAGAGGCAACAAACTGGAAGAGATAATGAGCTGTCAGAGCTGTCAAAGAGCAGGAGCCATGACTTGTGGAAAAGTAAAGAGGGCGAAGAAATAGAAGAGGAACTAGTGCAGTTGCCTTATGTAAGATGAAGGCCGCAAGACATAAGCTGAGCTTCTGAGCCCTTCATTGTGGGGCTAATTGCAACCTCCCTGCCAGTCTAGGATCTGAAGGGGCTCGTTCTCTGGGTCATGTTACCCAAGGGATGCGAGACTGGGGACTAGTATGTGAATTCTGTAACGTATCTCTGTGCAAGACTGCAGCTGTATATAGATGGAAAATTCTGCAGACTGTTTCTCATTGTTTCATCTGTACTATCAGTGAGACCTTGATCTCAGCTGTAAAGTCATCAATCACACAGTTACTCCCTCCCTACCTGCATTATATCAAGTATGTAGTCCAGATGATCTATCACATACATTCCCTTTCCAATGCAGTATCTGTGACTTCTAGTATTTCCTACAAATTACTAATGGGCTTGGGGTACTCTTGCAGAGATTTCATATATACTTATGCTATGGATTTGCCTATTTAGAGAACATCCATTTAGAATAATGAATACCAATAGTACTGAAGAGTGAACAAGAATGGAAATTGGATTTTATTGTCTCAGCTGGAAGAGTGTGTCTTAGTGAACTGCTGAGAGAGTGGGGATGCTGTGAAGAGCTATGTGAGAAAGAACAGTGACCTTCTTTCAGGTCCTGTTAACTTAGAAAGATAGAAGTGATGAACTGAAAGAACACAGCATTTCAAAAGCTAAATTGCTTCTTTCAGTTCTCTAGGCTACAATGCAGTCTGGTCTGTAATTATTTTAAAAGAATAGTGGTATGCTTTTCCCTTATGGCTTATTGTTGGATGTGTAATTTCACCTGCTTCCGTACTGCTGCTTCACACAGTATACAAATGTCTTCCTCCATGCAAACATTTCAAACTGATATGTTTGGACAGACAGTTAACACAGAAAAAGTACTGTTTTGAAATCCGATAAACTTTGTAAGGGAYGTAACAGAATAATAATTCCACATGAGATTTCTGCTTTAGAAATGAGGCAAATGCAGCAATAATACTTAATTATGTCAAAGTAAGCCAAGATAACCTAGCACACAGCTTGCTGCACTGCACGTGACCATTTGAATGAACAGTACAGTGGCATTTGAAACCTGTTACATGATCTTACCAGGTGCATTTCATCTCCTTCAATCCACTGGGTCCATCCACGACCTTCCTTTTCTCCTTTCTGTACACAAAGAAGCTTATCTCCATCCCAAGATACTGTGGTCTAGCAAGAGAGACATGTTCGGTGTTACTATAGTATTCCCTTACATCATCATTAACAGTTTCTTTAAAGCAAAACTTGTCGCTATGCAATAAATGATAAACATAGCTCCTAAGAATAATAATTATACACAGAGCTGTAGCRCTAAGGATAGTTAGAAAAGAAATGAGCTAAATGGAAAGTTAGTACCTGACTTCCTGTTAAAACTCAGGAGCATGAGATATAGCAGGCTCTTTGAATATGTGAAACCCATCACAAATGCCTGTAGCAGTGCACTCCTCACCCTGCCAACAGGGACAGCAGTGGAAGAGGTCCACACTCTGACACTTTGTTTGCAAAAGCAGTTGAAAAGTAGAGGTGCAGTGTCCTTTTTGCACCATAAGAACTGCTCTGCAGCCCCGCTACCTGAAACCAGTGCCCACCTACTGGCTGCTAGGAAAGATCATGAAAGGCTTTGAGATACCAACTTAGGCTTTTCTCCATCTTAATCTGTCTTCCATCATGAAGCAGAATTTTTGCCAGCATCCTGTAACTAGAGGACCACATTTGTTACTTGAGTRCACAAGAGAAAAAGAAAATGTAGTAAACCCTGTTAGTTAGCAGAGACTGATGCAGCTATACTCAGTAACACTGCTAATGAGTACCTGACAACATACCTAACTCTTCTTATTTTTTCAGAATTAAGCATCTTTTTAATTAGTCTGCTCGACAGGGACAGCCATACAAAAGTAAAGATGATCAGGATGTAGCATAGCACTTTTGTGGGTACCTGTGCTAGCCTGAGTAGTTCAGTGGAACCTAACTTCATGCAGCTATTTCAATGAGGGTGCATCCTGCAGCTTATTACCATGGCTCCCCTTTACTGACAATCTGCCTTTCACTTCTCCTTAAGATAAAGAGTAGCAGTATTCTGTAAAAATTTTAAAGAAGGAAGAGAAAGAGCAGTGGCAATTTCTGCTCCATTAAGGTAGTTTAACACCAACATTAGGACAGTGCTTTGAAATGAGCCTGTTAAGTAAATCTGAGGACAAAATACATCATTAGTCTGCATGGTGTAAGTCTTCAAGCCACTGCCTGTACAATTAGTCATAATATAAGGAGATAATGAAATCTGAAGATGAATTAAAGGAAAACTTACTGTGTCCGTCCTATGTAGTTTCTAAGAAAAGGAGTTAGCCTGTGCTTGGCAGTCTGCAAGTTAAAAGCAGTTCAGCATTCAAGAGCTATGCAGCTACACAGTGTTTATTAGTGTATATGTCACAAACAATTAATTTTTAGTTCATGACCAATATCTCTGAATAGGTGCAGCCAGCAATCTCCACCCATGGGAAGCTTGAGACTAAAGAAGCTTCAAAAATTAATCACTAGAAAAAACACTGGTGCTGATAATCATGGGCAAGACATTGTTAGTGATCCTGTATAGTGTTGCCTGCACAGCATAGGGGGTCTCCAGAAACAAACTCATTTGTCCTTGCTAGAAATCTGCCTGATCTGTAAAATGCATTCACAAATTCTTCTGTGTTCACACATGAAAAATAGCCTACTGGTAGATAACATTTCAAAAATACAGCTCCTTTGGATATGCATCACAGCAAGGACAACACATTAGGGAAGAGCTGTGCTTAAAGGAATCATGTGGTCATCATGATTTAGATTGTCTTCCATATCTGTTTTGACTTTATAGGCATCCAAGTGGTCCAGCTGGAGAGTTGGAAGTAACAAATAATACTAGTTAAAGGGCAAAATATTTAGCTTTTAAGTTGACCTCTCCARGACTTCCTGATGATTCTAAAAAACCAAATGCATGAGAAAATAAACACTATTTCTACAGCTAGCCTGCAGATGACAGGGCTGCTGTAGAATAAATGGTTAAATTATATGCAGCTTTGCTTAGTAACAGTACTTTTTTTTTTTCTACTGTGTATTAGCTCAGCATACCTTAATGACCAGATTAGTTGCATAATTTAATACTGTGGGTGTACCTGTGCATTCAAGTGTATATTATATTCTCTTATAAAATAAGATCCAAATTCATTATTACATCTAATATTTAAAGTCAGTTGTTATGGAAATGATGAAAATATTCATTAGGTTAGTATGCTTAGGGGGAATTGAAAAACATTTGCAGCACTGCAAGGAAATGTTAACTTTTTCAGTTTCCAAGGGTGGTTCAAATCATTTAATTTCAGAAAATGATGCACTTTCTCTTGCTTTTTTTTTTTTGTTTTCCAATCAATATTAGACATTGCTTTGGCAATTTGGTGACAATCACAGAAAATTAGACACATTAAACTCTTAACCAAGATGTCTGATAGGCAGAATTCCCAGTAATAACAATCTGAATTCCCTTTGAGAGATATAAATAGTGAAGGGATACAAGTAAACTGTATAGTTTCTATTCTGAATGTGGCTATTTCACTTTAAAGGCTAAACAGGACAGAATGTATTGCAGGAGAACATAACGTTCTCGTCTTTGTTAGCGGAAATAACAACTTACTGAAAATAAGATTAATCACTAGCATTTTTATCTTGTCTTTCTTTAGGTCAAACTCCAGTKTTTGATATAATAAAAGACCCAACTAATACAGAAGACAGAAATTTCCCTTAACTCAGATGGAAAAGGGTAGTGAGGTCTTCCATTCCAAGTGTCTCTACAAAGACACACARTATTAGCTGAGGATGGATTTGTCACAGCTGTTAGGTGTGCGCTGGCTGCCGCTGTCTCCCCTCTGCCAACAGCTAATGCAGTTCAATCTCATTCAAATGTTTGGATGGCATGAATAGTATAATGCAAAAAGTAAAACTGACTCTAGCAGTGAAATAGAAAAATAACATTTTTAGAAAAATAAGTTTTGCATCTGAGCTTACTCATTGTTGCCTTGGAACATGAAATGTCAACCTTTGCTGTTTTTCATTTAGTTTTTTTTATATACTTTTAACTGAAGTAGTTAGCAAATATGCTGTGAAGATACATAAGATAACTTAAAATAAGAATCAGCATTTTTTTAGCCTTTCTTCTTCAGGCAGTATTGATTTGGAATTATCCTAGTTACGCTGTACCCTGACTGACTCAAAGACTTGTTTTACAACTGAGAGGTGAACACAATTTCAGTGAATTACACATAAGAAGATCCAGCCAGTTCATTGTGGTAATATTATTTTTACTGATGGGCATTAACTCTAGTTAGATAACTCCTTAGATGTATACTTCATTAAAAGAAAAAYAATCTATACATATTGGATGAGAGACTTCTAAGGTAATTTTTGCACAGTAATTGCTCAGCTATATAGATTAATGTTTAATGTGTAATTTGTCTTATCCGTGTTACTTTGAACTTCTTATGCATTGAGCTATTTGAACGAATAACAGGACAGTGAGCAGAAAAGTTGTCTGGTGTTCTGCTCGGTCCAGGATGTAGATAACAATAATTGAATCATAATCTCTCCCACTACACAGGTTAAGTATTAAAGATAAAGTCATATGTCATGCAGCTTCACAAGCTACGGACGAGGGAAGAAGACATCAGGAATAAAATTCCACCTTCCCTTTTATGGTGACTTTTCTCATTATGTCCCTCTTACCACCTTCATTACTCTTCTGTCTTCTGTCTGGCCTGATGTTGTTGCTTGAAACTTGCCTGAATTTGTGGTTTTCAGGTGTGGAGAGAACCTTCGRACAGGCAGCTTCTTATGTTGCTGCCTTTGGGCAAGCTGGTATCTCATCAAGTAGAGAGATCTTTAATAAGCAAATTGAACTGCAAGGTGTGACACATTGCTACAGAGGCAGTGATCAGAGGGACCTTGATTGTAGAGCTGCCTGGATTGCATCACCTGCTTATGATCGTGGTGGCCATAAAGGAATATGAAGGATTTCTGAACCCTTTTGTGGAGTGAGGAGCACGAGTCATTCCCAGCAAACAATCAGTCGATCAGGGACAGTGACCACTCCTTTGGTCCTTTGGAAGAGGCAAGAAGCCGAGGGTACCTTCTGCTTCTAAGGCTGATTAAGCATTTTGCACTGAATACTCAAGGGATAAAATGCTGATGCAGCTCTTGAAAGCAGCCTAAGCTAGTGGTTGTCTGACATATTCCGCAGAAGTTGTTGCAGGGGTTGAGGTCAGAGAGCCTCAAAGCACAATCACTTCATTCCCTCAGATAAAGGCTGTTTTAGTCTAGAGTTCAGTAGTATTTAACTATAACGCTAATGGTTTATTTGAGACATTCTATATGCACACAAACAAGTACAACACTGATGAAATCACAGGTCACTTTAGAGGTTTTAGAGGTTGAGAGGTCCCTTTAGAGTCTGGGAAGAGGTTCTAAGCATTATTACTTTTAAAAGTAATTTAGCCATCTAAATCTTTCTTCAGGATTATAACTGTTCAATGAGTCTGGACTCTCTATCCTGATTAAGAACCTCCCAGTCATCAAAAATATATTGTGGCATCAGGCCATTTCACTTCCCACAAATACACTTTCCTTCTCTCTGCCTTGAAAACAGACAGTCTGGTTCAGATGAACTTGGTTTTCTCTTTTTCTTTTTTTTCCTCTCTTTTTTTTTTTTTTTTGTGTTAATTGGTATTTATTATTCATGAGTTACGAAATACTGTCTCAACAAAATACTGGCAAGAGAAAACACTCATAATACAGAGTCCTCAGCGTTGGCTTATTGATCACAATGATTTGGTCCTGTAGGCTAATCAGTGCATCCACGTTACCAAATACACCCAGGAAGGTTCCTWCACAGAAACAAGGACAAGAAAAGCAGCAATTTTTAAGCACTTGGCCAGTCTTACTCATGGGAAGTGAYGCCTGATCCTGCAAAGAATGGATTTCTTTTACTGTAAAACATTACTGAATGCAGAAATACTAAAAATCTGTCTGCAACCAACTTTTTGTCTAACACATAGCCCAGTATACACTGATAYGAATTTACTGTTCATTGATGAATTTTTTTCATGCTCCTGCTTAAAATTAACATTCCTTTAATGCTAAGAACTGTATGCACATCTCAGGCAACCGAGAAGCGCAGAAACAACCTTATGAACAGCCTGCTAAAATGGCTTACAAACGTGCTTGYGGCAAGGCCATGGATTATTAAAAATTATTCTTAATCTTTTTTTTTTTGCCGTCAGTTGTTACAGTTCTAATTCTTACCATGCATTTGCGATCATCCACCCCAGCTAAATCCTCCTCAAACTCCTTTCCTACATCAAATTCCATGATGTAGTTTCTAAAAGTGCTTAGAGTTTTAATGATCATATGATCCCCATTCTGAAGGATGTCTTTGTCAGGTTTTAGCAAGTTTGCTATTTTTCTTACAGCAACATTAACATCTGAAAAACAAAAAGAATTATTTTAATCCAGAAAAGTCTACAAAAGAGGATTGTAGCTCTTGGGAGGACTAATATGAACAAAGATAAATAAATAAATGTCCAGATCCTTTCAGACAAGCCTGCTTATCAGGAGGAAGCCCATAGCCTAATTCTGTTAAATAAGTCAATGTTTTGACTGTTGCTTGTGCTGAACCCCAAATAAAATCCATTTGTATTTGACAACTAACAAGGTTCTTTCTTTCGAAACACTGCTGTTTTGCATACTTCTTCATCAAATGCAAACACACCAAACTGCATCAAATGTATTCTTGTCTTCATAGGAGATAATACTTGCAGTGATTTTCAAATTATGGGTAATTTTTAAGTTCGAAAACTGCCATCTCTGTAATTGTAAACTTCAAGATGGTAAAAAGGAGAGGCTGTTTAGGATAAACAATTTTGCATAAGGCAGTTCTTACAGAGCACTTCAAAAAAGAAACCTCGCAAGAATGGTTCAAAGGAAAAAAAACAGGTTCATATTAAGACTAAGAAGACTAAGACAGGTTGCATTTATCCATTATTTACTAAAGAAACATGAAGGGAATCTTACCCAGGGCTTTCAGATACTCCTCAAAATTGTCATTGCTGACCATTTTCCAGTAGCCATTGAAATCTGCCGGCATCCCTACTCTAGGTAATTGTCAAAATCAAAGTCTTTCTTCAAACAGCGTGTGATTCTGCAGCGCACGGCTCACTGCCTTCCTTTGCGGTGAGCTTGAACTTGGGTTTCTTTTATCTGTTTTTCAGACCGTGGAGCTATGAAATCCTCCTAATCCGATTACTGGTGAAGTGTTGCCTTTAAATCCTTCCACAAGGCTGAAGCTCTGAGATTTGTAATGACAGCAGGATAACTTGATTTAAATGGAATGAAACATTCACCTTCCTTATAACTTCTGTACGGATACTGGTTATCTGCTGATCCATTTTAACCRTATTACTCTTCATTTTTCATGCTACTCAGAAATAAGGTCTTTTAAATGGTTTTAGCCGAGGATATTAACCAAGGCTATACAAGGGCTTATCTTGTGTGGTTTTTAGGTGAATCATGCTTCCTTGAATATCTCCAAGCTACTTGAGGCCTTCTGCTTTTCAGAAGAGTCATATAGGCTCTTTTAATGAAAGTAAATTAAGTTTGGCACTATCCTAACTAGTTCCACAAGCCCTTTACTTCTGGAGACTCACCCCTGGAAGGTGACTGGCTGCTCACCTGATGGCCCAGAAAGGGCCAGGTGGGTGAAGTTTGTGTTAAGAAGCAATGGTTGCTTCTGTATACTGAGAAATACTACATGCCTATGAATGTGTCCTGAAAACCAAAGACATAAAGAAGACATCATAGAATCACAGAATCCTTAATGTTGGAAGGCTGGTTGGAAGGCACCTTTAGAGATCATCTAGTCCCACCCTCCTGCAAACACAGGGTCACCTAGAGCATGTGGCACAAAACTTGTGTCCAAGTGGGTTTGGAAGATCTCCCGAGAATGAGACATAACATCATACGTGATATCAGTCTGCACTGGTCTCCTATAGCTCTGCCCTGCTGTAACGTTGAAATCAGGACTAAATCACTCATCTTGGCAGACATTGTGCATACCAAAATATTAGCTATATTGAATCTTGTAGTGTATTTTGTAGTGTATTTTAGTAGCCATATGTCACTTCATATTACAACTTTATTTCCGACCTAATGAGTTAGAAAAGAAACTGTCAGCCATATAATGCGGTATCTTGTCCTTGCTACCTGTGAAGAAACTGAGTTTTACATAATGCCACAGAGTATGGACCATTTCAGTAATCCAGTTTCCTCAAGGGAGCATTCTTCTTCTTCTACCTCTTCTTCAAGTCACTATAAGAATGCATAAATACTTATTGACCTTAAATACCTCTTTCAGATGCTGAAATTAGAAAGCTGGTACCGTCAGAGCACTAGTGAAGGGGAGGTGATATACTCCTCCAGGTGATACAGGGTATAAGCTCAGCTCTAAATTGCTTTATTAAATAATGTTCCTCTCACAAATAAGATGCCTAAAGTTGTGTAAAGCCRTACCCAGCCCAAAGTCATACTGTGCCAGCAGAGTTTTTCATTTCAAAGGGGTAACATCAGAATGTCTGCACTGAATTAGCTAACAGTCCTGTTCCCTGCCTGTAGCACTGGAAGGATATTATGATCCTTCTGAACACGCTCTTCCAGATTCCAGTGATTTGTGACTCAAGGACTTGGTGAGCCAGTTGTTTCTCTTTTATGTTGAAACATCATTATGTTTAAAATCCTGCTTTGGTAATAATATAGAAATAATATAGAAAGTGTAAAATGCTAGCATCCATTTGGTGAGAAAACAGAGCTGTAAATTGCTTTCGATGCATCAGTAGCCATTTATTCCAAATTAAGTCCGGTTTGATACTGGGTCTTCAGCAGCTTCTACACAATGTTGTTTATGAATACAGAAGAAAGCTATACATTTTTTGGACTACAGTCAATTTTTGTCTGTTCCTTCCTTTTCCTCTTTCCTAGGTATAAGAAAATCAGAGCCATTCCATTGTTTTAATAGCAACCTTCTAGAASTGATTTTTATGAGATATAGTTATCCCACAGTATGTCAGTGTGAGCTAGATTGACTCAGAAAAGCAGGCAAGCAGAACAGAGAATACATTTGTCTGGTAACACTAGGCTCAACTACTGCCTAAGCTGCTTACATATTCCCATTTATTTTCCATTCTGCAAATGCTAAAGTTCAAGTTCCACGCTGTTATTTCACAGCAATTTCTGGTATGGTGCAAAAGCTATATCCAGGGAAAGTGCTGAATGAGTAACCTACTGTACACACAAATGTATCTAAACCAATTAACATTTCCCTCCCCCCCCAAAAATATTATTGAAAATGTGCATCATCATATGCAGAATGAAGAATGTGCTTTTTGGCTGGGACTGGCTTTTCATTTCACACTGAGAAAGTGAATTGACTTGCAAAAAAAGGCAACGTGGTAATTTCTGTGTTGTACATGACACAATTTTGAGTTTATCTGACTGGTCTAAGAAAAAGTGGGCATGTTTTACTGTTATGAAGAATGATTTTTTTTTTCTTTTTTCTTTTTTTTCTTTTTTTTTTTTGCATGAGTTCAAAAGTAGCAAGAAATTACTAAGATTAATCCATCCAGAAAGGTGAAGAACAGAAGGATCAAGCCCATTTTGCAAGATTCTCATCATAATGTGACCTGCAATATCAGTAGCATTTTTGCTGTTGACAAGGAGGGTCTCTGCTCTCCATCCTCTTGGAGATGTCATCTATTCTTTGGCAATTGCTTACTCTTACAGAAGACTGACTCGGAGAAGCAAAGAAATGGACTGCATTGGGGGAGGATTGTTTGTCTCTTTTTTTTAATTGGGAGGATTTAAATTGACATGAAAGCTGCGTGTGTTTTTAGGTACATGCATGAACCAGGACTTTATTTCCATCTCTTGTCCAAACAGCCAAAGCTTGAACTTGCACTTACTTAAACTTCTGAAACAAAATTTTTTCACGTTCCTGAAAATGAAAATGTAGCAAAAATACATACATTTTTAAGGAAGAGTTAGAATTCATTTTATTTTGTTGCTTCAGAACAGTGAGCCATCTTTATGCTGAAACTGCAAGATTAAAGAATTACAGCTTCAAGGAAGTGCTGTTTGATCCTGAAATACTACTGGAGAATTTTAACAGCTGTTTTTAAAATCTTCTGTTTTCACAAGGAAACTGTTGTTTGTACATTTTAAGAAACACACTTGAGTATCCTTTTGATACTCCATTTGATTAAGCATTGCCACATACAAAAAGATTAATCCAAAATACCATCTGAATTCAAAAGCATTTTGGGCAGATGTACTTTTCCCTCAACAACAACAAAACATATTTTGGAAGAATCTTCCATCAAAAATTGCCACGTCGGTGCCTTTCCGACTGCAGCTCTCAGTCATTCAGCGGCTTCTCTCGCATGTTGTGCAGTCGTAGAGGCTGAAGCAGGTCGCCTTCRTGCTTCCTCTCACTCTCCTCTGTGTAGATATTGTGCTGTGCAATGTAGGAAATGACAGAATCTGGCAGGAGATACTTTACACTTAATCCTCTGCACAAGGCCTTGCGTATTTGGGTTGCGCTGATTTCGTTCTGAATCCATTCTTTCACTAGGAAGATATTGTGCTGATATTTGGTTAAAAGATCTGATTTGTGGATGTACTGACGAGCATCAGAGCCAGCAYGGCTAATACACACCAAGCCAAACCTCGCTACTATTTCTTGGATGTGCTCTTCCTTCCAGAGATTGGGGGTCTTAAATGTCTGTAGAAAATCAGCTCCACAGAGCAGCTTTAATTCCGGTAGAACTAGGAAGACAAAACGGAAGGAGAGATTTCTACACTTGCTCAGATGCCTAGGAAGATTATACCCAGTTGTTCTTCCCAATGTTTTTTAACTGTTTACTTTTACCTTTTTTTTTTAGAAAAAATCAGATTGGATTTTGGATTGGTAGCCACAAATACATGTTTTTTCAAACTTAATGTACCTACTATTTCATCCCTCACAGCATATCAAATATTGCTGTACAATGTTAAAGGAGAATTATTTCCCCACTGAAGCAAGCCATATATTTCCTCTGGAAATGGARGCCGTCATCTATTTCTAAGAGAGGAGAGGAATTATAGTCTTCTCTGGGGTTCTCAGTGGCAGCTCTTGGTCTTTGCCCGTGCAGGGGGGTGTCAGGGGTGACCCTCCTTCCTAGCAGGCCATGTGCTTGGGGCATCCCAGTCCCTATCGCGGCCCAGCTGCACTGAGTGCAGAGGGCAAAGGCTGTAAGGGACGAGGAGCTCTTCACACCAACAGACTGTTCTGTGGGGACAGCTGCCACCTGGTAGAGTACAAAGGGAAAAACAAAAACCAACCCGCCCAAAACCCCAGCCACTGTGTTCCAGACAAGGAAACCTATGTCTTGCCAGTCCTCCGTCTGAACCTATTTTTACCTTTTTTTCAAGATATAGAGGAAAACTGTGCTGATGCCTACTCTATTCTAAAGTAAGAAACCCACCTTATGGGGAAAAAAAGACCAGTTTGCACTTTTGTTTGCACTTTTGTGCAAACTGACTTGTTTTTTCAATAAAGCTGAAATACCTACATAAAGTAATAGCCAAAAGAGAATTTTATACAATGGAAAATTAAAATAGTCTTAATGACTTCCATACTATATTTTCCGGATGCTGTAATGAGAAGAATCTGGCTTGTTACTTACCAACACTAAATCCACACCAGACAGAGTTCAACTGCAGTCCAAGTGCTGTAGGAACTTTTTTTTCCCTACCATCTATAAAGATTTAACAACTTACCCTTTGGAAACCTTTGTGTAACCATGAAAAGCTTAAATATATTATTCATGTCCCAGAAGTGCCGCAAGCACTATAGGAGAAATGTAAAGTATCAGAAATAGAGCAGTATCCTAGAAAACCACAGAGCTAAGGACTGTGATAAAACAGAAGATCCTAAGCTGAGTGTGTTTCTAGAGCATGACCTGCTTTTAGTGTCAACAAGATTTTTTTCATCCCAATATATGCAATGAGTGTCGGTGCAGCAGCATCAGTGCACCTTGTTCCCTGGCTGGCATTCCAATAACAATCACAAGTAATCCCTGTATTGTTCAGTATTATTTATTCATTATACTGCATGCTTTGCAAAATCAGCAGGGCCACAGCTTCCATCTCTGGTAAAGCTTCAGGAGATGCTTATGGAACTGGGAGCTCATATAAGAGCCCTCCAGCGGCGCCTCTGGCCCGCATGGCGGGGAGCGCAGGGTGACGACACATTCCCTTGGCACTTCCCAGGGTGCAGCCCCCCTGCCTGGGAATGGCTGCGCTCAGGCAGCGCTCCAGCCCTCGCAGCCACCGCTTCCTCCTTCCACTTTCCCACCAGGCGCCGTGGTGCTTTCAGGGCTAAACCTCAAGAGGTGCTTAGGGTGCCAAACCAACCTGTGTGCTGGGGAGAAGGGGCATCCTGTGGAGGTCTTTGCGTGGGAGACCGTTGCGTGGCTCTCTTGTTCGTGCAGAACTCCTCCCTGGACTGCAGCGCTGTGTTGTAATGGTGCCTGCATTTCAAATAAAGCTTCTGTGTAAAGTAATCCTCTCAGAGGTGCACAAAGGGGTTGCTTTCAGCCTCAGGAACATAGTCGGCCTTTATACACATGGGGTTTTAATACAATTTGTTGGGATTTCACCAYGTTCATTAGAAGATTAGAAGTATCAATGCAGTTAACGTTTTGCACCATTCACAAGCAATCTCTGTAAGAGCATTCTGGTTTCTGATTCCCTTTCGAAACTCGACCATGCTGGTAGCAACACTGCATTTAAAGCATTATGGAGGATTTTGCTTGTTAAGGATTAAACCACACTTTAGTTACTACAGCTAATTTCTTGATTAAATACAGCCCCTTAGACATAATGATGTTTCTGTCTGCGTGTGTTTCTATCTGTGTGCTCCTTAAAATAGTTCTCAGAAGGAGATAATCCTTATCTATTTAATTCTTCTTTCTGCAAAAATATATTTCTTGAATTTTCCCCATTATCACTTTCCCTTTCCTTTTAATAAACCGCTCTGATCCTGACAAATTCACAATTCCCTCAAAATACACTATTCCCCTACAATGTAAGACTTTGGTATGCCTCTAACTGTACTGAGTTCAGCTCCCTGAAGGTAGGCAAGGATCCATTTGCCAGTTTCCCCTGTTTTACATCACTTTGCTCTTTTGCTGCTCCCAGTCACTGTTGCCCACCCTAGCACTGGTACCCTTACTTCACTTCATGGTAAGGGCATCCACACTTGGGCACGGCTGGAGAGTATCAACCAGGCAACACTSTCCCAGGAAGCATCCTCCCACCGAAACAGGGCAGCTGGGCATAGGCAAGTGCCCCGTGCCCTGTCCTGTCCCCATCTAGCACAGATGCAGCCAAAGTGACAGGTCTTATATAACCGTCTCAAAGCAAAGGCTGTAAGTTGCAAGGAAAGCTCTGCCCTAACTCAGTCTGAACGCAGTGGTCATACAAAGCCATAAATAATCCTCTGCATGTCTGGCCTGAGGAATGAATCTACAGTTCAGTGACTTAGATGTRTGCTCTTCAAACTGCACAAATACTCTGTGCCCCAGGAAGTGGCACTGGTGCCCAGAGTGCACACCGGGCCGGGCCCCACAGTTTTTTCTGGGCATTTCTGATGCTCAGCCATTGACTAAGGGAGCTGTCGAGACAAGGGGTGAGACACATAGGCTTGGCTGGAGCCTTGCTACGTTTATACATTTTAATCCTGCCCTGCTGTAAACAGGTGGCGTTGTGTATAGTCTAGTGCCCTAACTTCATGTCAGGCACTGGCACTCACGGGTCTTGATTCAGAAATAAGAACTCTTGGCAGAGAGCTCACTGCAGACTAGYGTTCCAAGTGCTGGTAAATCTCGACTGCCAGAAGGGTCGTTCAGGGCTCCCTTTTAATGCTGGAGGCTTTGAGTTATTTCAGAGATACATCAAAATGGACGTGTCACTTTATCAAGTGTTTTCTGAATTTTGTATGAGGCTTCCTATAACTACCTAATTATATAAGCCCAGTTAACTTGTTGGATAAGACAGGTATTTGGCAACTCTGAAATAATTTCTTGTGTATCTGCACTGCAAGTAATCCAGGTTACACAACGGATTAAAGTTCTTTACTTATTGACAACAATGTTTTCTTGCCTAGAAGGAATTTTCAGGAATACCAACTGAATGGGAAATATTTCCATCACTTTCTCTCCTCCTTTCTGAAGAAAAAGTCTTGAAATAGTCTCCAAAATTCCCATGTTTACTTAAGGTAACTGACATCTAATGGCATTGTCACAAATGACGTACCAGCTCTGCTGTTGAATATTCTTCCATGTCATAACAATTTGGGAGCTTTGGGAAAATCTACAGATTTTGATGGAATATGACAATTTTATCACATTCAGGTGAAGCAAGTACTGAGAAAAAAGCCATTCATGTGTCCCTTCACAGGACACAATGTCCCAACACAGTTAGGTGTATGGTTCAAAATACTGATATGAAGAGACATTTATGGATGTCTTGGCCTTCTTTGCAAAATCTTTCTTTTGGTACTGCAATTTCCTAATTGAAGAAAAGTGAGCAGATAAAATAGCAGTCATAGAGTCAAAATAACTAATCTAGAAAAGAGATACTCCTGAAGAATGGCTTTCTTGTCAAGTTTCTTATTTTCTGATTCACATCTCAGTGTTGCCCACTCAGGGACTTAAAAAGTGGAGGGAGRATATGAGAGCAGAGAACTTAGCCCTGTAACTACTCCAATGGCTAAACAGGGCCCATGGCCTAAACGGCACAAATGCTATACTGCAGATTATCGTGTGTGTCTGGGGAGAGCCTGTCTGCTTTGCACTAGGAAAAGAAAGACTCCAGGTAGGGAATGCTGGTTAGAAAGCTTTTCTGAAGAACAGTGACACTCATTTTTGTTGTCCAYGGATCTAGTACTTTAGCTCATAGCAGATGATGCCATGAACAAAGATGTTCTGCTTTGCTTCATCACTTTACATGAGCCAGTTCCGTGTATTGATCTGGCAGCCGGACAGATTTGTGGCAATCACTAGCTTCTTAAAGAAAGAAAAGAAATTACCGTAAGACTCGCACTGTCTCTGTCCATGTCTCCTGCTCACTCTCCCATGGATCAACTCGAATCCAGTCAGACGTCTCCAGCGCAAGTCTGGCCATTGCTACCCGGTGCTTGGCTGAAACCAAGCCTTGCTTTCTGTAGTTGTCACTGACCGGAGACACGATGCCCTCGATCACCTCATACCTTCCTGGGAAAACAAAAAAGGAAAGAATCATCCTCGCAGAACCTGGAACATTTAGGCTGGAACCGTCCTCTGGAGGTCTGGTAGCTCAAAGYGTGCTTCACTTCAAACCTAGAGAAGGCCACAAACAAGCTGATCTGTGCATTATTTTTAATACTAGGAAAAAGGAATGTGAAAAATGGAAAAGTTACATTCCTGTTCTTTTACCTCTCTAAATTCTCACAATTACTACTGCATTTATCATAATAGATAATTTAGAAAGAAAATCTGGATGAATTTTTAAGCAAGTAGAAACATTTATAATTTATAATGCAAACTATAAGAATGCAGAGCATTCTGCAGAGCAACTTGGAATAAGACTTTGTATCTGAGTGCTGCTTCATTTCACTCCTGTTCCAAGCTGCTACTCACCCCTGTGATGGCATCACACAATTTGGTTACTTTATCTGACATTTATCCCTTATATTGCTTTGTCCTTCTGCCATCTTTTAAGCTTAGGATTTGTCTTCTCTCAGCTCAGTCTTTTCTTTGTTTTTTATTAACATTTCTCCTTTATTGTAAAAATAAGTTATTAAGATATACTATGAGATAATACTGTTCTAGCATAAACCAAATTCCTAGGAAGTAACCTCTTCCTGCTGAGCAGTGCCTGTGCATAGAAGTGTCTCTAACACTCCTGAGACAATGAAGAATGAGACCTACTCATTATCCAGCCTGCTTTTCTGTGCCAGTGCAACTACCTCAAATAACATCTCCCAGATAAGACTTTAAATTTGCAGCTATCACTATAAACAGACAGTACAAATGTGTACTACACATACGTGATAACATTACCAAAGGACATATGTTTCATGATTGCTTTGCTGTGGGGAAAATTTACTTTCCTTGAGAGGGTTTCATGTAACTGAGTACAGCAGATGAGCCAGCATATTGATTGGTACCTTCCTGTTGGACTGCAAAGCTTTGAAAATCTCACTGATGTAGGTTTACATGAAGCTACTACAGATCATATGCCAATCTCCTATCTAGATTAGAATGAAACACCTTATCATGCAGTATTCAGCTTTCCACAACTACAGTTTGCAATAGAAAACCAGCTGGTAACTTGTGTGACATTAATTAAATGTGACAGCAGCTCAAAGCCAGGGAATATGCACATTTTCCCTTCCTGTAGATACGGATGTTAGTTTAAATACTGCATAGTGGTCAGTCACAAACCCCATCTTTCTTTAGGCAAGACAACTGTGCTTCACTCACTGCCCAACTGAGATTTCTGTTCTGAATATCCAAAATTTGCAAACATGGGCCAAGAAAAGATGTGTAAATGTTAACACAATGAGGCTCCTAAGAGCTGTAAGTTTTACTGCACGGTACCTACCCAACACCCCTCAGCAAACAAAATCTCTCTGCTGAGGAGCTACTCCTCYTGTGCTACCAAAACGGCAGCTATATAAGAACATATAATAAACCTATATAAAACTCACTGTCAGAAATGAAGGACAAAACGTCCACTAGAAAACAGTTGCAATGAGTCTCATACTTCAAGAGACACACAGCAGCTTACCTTAAAAAAAGAGAAATCATTTCTCTAAAACAACTACTGACACACTTGCTTTTCAGCATATGAGTAGGTAATTGTGTTATTTAATTTCTTTTATCAAGTCTTTATGTGTGGCTATACATACATTAAAATGACATTAAAAATTCTATATTAAAGTAACAGCAGTGGTTTGCTTTGAACTCTCAAGAAATCAATATTCCTCACACAGCTCTCAGTCTATTAATATTAGGAAACTGTAGAGGGGGTTTTTTCAGTGTTCTGTTTAAACCAGAATGTTAATCTTATTCACAGGTTATGTTTAACTGGGGAGAAGAGGGCGTTATCTACCGTCTTTGTCCAGAAACTGGGGCAATTAAAAACAAAATAACCCACCCAGCAACTAGATACAAGTCATCCTAAATATTTGCATTGTTCAAAAGTGTTTACAGATAAAATATCAAAGGACACCAATCCAGTGCTGACTTCCTTTGAGAGGCAGAGATTGCCAAGCATGAAAAAGGAAAAGAAAAGTAGGCAAGACTTTTCTGCTGTATGTTCAGTCATCTTCTGTGAGAAGAATTCAACAGGAAGAAAATCAAAGGTGTAAACAATTTAGTGATCATTACACTGCAAGTCAAAATAAACCACAAATACATCAGAGCAGTAATGGCCAATCCTTTGGGATGTCTCTTCCCAGGATGGATGGCTTTCCCTTCACYACTTCACAGAGTGCTCAGGAGATGCGTTCAGTGAAATAGATGAGGTGTGCGGAGATTGTAGTGACAGATGCCATATAGGGACCTAGACAAACATAGATCACATCCATCTAGCTGAGTGAACTGCAGGGCCTGAAGATGCAGATTTACCTTTGTAGGCAGCCAGCCATTCTAATACACCCTGTGGCTTCAGAAACTCGCCTCCAACACGGAGTGCCGGAGGACGCACAATGATCAAGCCTCAGATAAATGGGACACATCGAGTCTGTAATAAACGTTTCATAGCAAGAGCTCAAAGTACCATTTTGCATATACATAGCTCATTGGCTTCAGAGAAAAACAAGGAAAGGCAGCAACTTGAGAGCTCTCAAAATTAATATCCTCCAGAAAGGAAGGATAAACCCACCATCTTGGGAGTGCCAGTATGAATAATAAAGCACAGTAGCTGTGTTCATAGGGCAGCCCCTTCTGAAACTCTTTCCTTCGTGGTGGCCCTTGTGAGGAAGGGCGCTGGGAAGGGGCAGTTCAGGTGATGGGGATTCCACAGCCAAACACAGGGCGTAACCCAGGCACGGCTGCAAGCAGGGCTGCCCGACCCTTCATTTCTGCGGGTTTTAGATTGTCTAAGACAAAAAGCTCATGAAGCAGAATAACAATTATTCCTATTCCACTTAGAAAAGCATTCAGGAAAAGATTAAGAGTTAAACTGTATCCACCAATAAGAGTAGTCACAGAAGTGAGTTTTATAAAACAGACTGATTTTCTTTAGGTCTTGAACCATAGCATCCGTGTTTTGGTTGCTTTAATTTGCACCTCTGCCTGTACAGGAGCCAACTGCAGCGTACACCCTGCATCCTTTTGGGATGCCAAGGTGCACACAAGGTGCCTCCTCATGCACCCTTCAAGGAGAGAGCCTAGTACAAGTTTTATCAACAATTAAAAGAAAAAAAAGAGAATGAATTACTTGACAGGTGGCACTGGAATTTCAAATACTGCTTAATGTATATAGAAACTCAGTGAACTGCCCTGCTCAATGGGAACACAAGAAAAATAAGACCAGATGCTATTTGAAGCTGAAACAATGTGCAAAAATCTGGCAGAAAGAATTACTGGAGATGTCCATCAGGATACGTATCGGGGTAGTCATGTTATTCATTACAGTAAAACTTGATTGTGAAGACAGCTGCAGTCAAGCTATTACACAACAGATACATTCTGGCTGAGCAGAAATGCACACTGTGGTGCTGCATTTATGGTTACTCTCCATGGGATGGGAGAAGCTTCCACAAGCTAATTGTGGTTCTGGCTCTTGCAGACAAACCAGGTTAAACAATTCAGGAAATGGTAATGATAACCCTGTGGGAAGACCTGACACACAAAAAAATATTTTCCAATAGTGCATAAGGTACTTAAAATATTAAGTCTCCACACATTGACTTAAAAGGTCAAAGAGCACCTCACACGCTACACAAAACCAAGCACCGATGATAGAGGGTTGCAGCGGTGCCCGACTTCCATTTCAGCCTTCAGACCTCCCGTCTGAGGGAGGGCTGGTGTCTTAGGGAGAAGTTACATGGATGCTGTAGCAGACCRGGGTTATTACGCATGATCCCCACAGCGCCTGCTCCTCCTGAGCCTTTCTGATTCTGATTTGTTGTTGGGACTGTCCGGTGTGCTGACATCTAGGTCTTCTGACCTCCTTTTTTTATTTTGCTGAGGGAGCTAAGTTCCACCCCTTAATAAAGCTGGATAATGACTAATGTTTCATCTTTTCTCCAGATTTACCGTGTATTTAAAGATGTTAACTATAACACTTATTCATATTAAATTCCAATATAAAGATAAAAGCATGAAAGTGTATCATAACTGGTTCTCTGTTTCGGAGTTGTTAGGCATACTTCCACCAGATTCAGCAGGTTCTATGAATATATCCTAAAACTGCTAATAGATTGCTTTAATTCAGCTCTGCGAACACTCGCTATGATTCTTCCTTCATTAATCAGTCAAAGAAAGAAATAATGCTGCAATTTCTATTTTGAATATGCCATGAAAACCTCATATTGAATTATCAATAAAGAATAATAAAATGACGCAGGTAGTAAAATGACAGCTCATCTATCCTGAATCACCAAAGTTTTTCTCCCTTTTCACAGTCAAACACAGTGTTTGTGGCCCGAGCACCACGTTACTGACCCGTTTGGTGCAGGTGGTCTCTAGCCAGCTCAAACAGGCGCATGTGCATATTGGTGATGGGGTTAAAGGAGCCACAGGCCAGGAGAATGAGAGGTATCCTGCTCTGCATACTGACATCAAGGCGTTAACACTCCACCCTAAGGAAGAAACATGAAAATAAAAAAAAAGAGAAACTTGACAGAGAATAGTCTTCTTAAAGTTCCTCAAAATAAATGGGTCTTGGAAGCCTGGGAAAGTGTCGAAAGATGAGCACATTGTATCATCAGTGTACTTAGAAACCCAAGTGCTCTTTGGTGTTAATGGGGACAGCATCAGCAAATTCTGTTTCCCCACATGCAGAATTAGCAGGAAAATAAGGTTTCTAGAAATTGTGCTGTTTTGAATCACTATTATCAAAATAGGTATTTTCAAACCTGAGAGAGGTTTGGTTCTTTTTGATTTTTGTCCCACTTCCTTAAGAAAATAAGCCTCATTCAGTCTGTCAACCTTAATTGATGAACTGATGAGTTAGTTACCTAGCATTTGACTCTATAAAATAAATACTCCATCAATGCCGTCCCTTAAAAATTACTAGTGTTCTCTCTCACGGCTGCTCCTAACTCTTGCTGCAGTATGAGGTCCTAGTTTCCTTGCAAGGATGTAAGCAGAAATCCCAAGCCATGTGTGTGGCCCTCTAACAGGAGGGTTACAGCAAATGCACAGCCCACATATATTGGCAGGGGAGGAAAGGACAGTGTGCACCGTCTATAGGAGGGCTGCAACCAGAAGAGTCTATTTTCTGTCAGGGACTTCTTTGGTTACTGGCTTTTAGGTTCCTGCAATGATGTTATCAAGGTCAGCACAAGCCGCAGCTATTCAGCACTTTGTGGTCTCCTTCTCTCGGTGCTTCCACTTCGCTCCCTGTGGGACAGGAAGCAATAAGCAACTTCTGCAGAGTTCACGCCTAGTTTCACAGCTACCTAMACTGCAGTGACTTATTCACTTCTGCATCTAGTGTAAATTACTGGGACAAACTAATGCTTCTAGGCATGAACTACTGTGCTTTTAAATGCTTCATAATCTTTAAATGGGCATCTCAAGAACTCTGAGGATGATTACTTGTGTGTAGGAACTAGCCTTGTACGTACAATCATTCTTGAAATAGAACGTTCAACCCACCAGAAATGCAGAGGGGAAAAGATCTGTGAAACCATTTTTAAGGAAACATAAAACCGGCGCTATTTATTTTGAAAACGTTGCTATACTGGCAGCACGGCTACTTTAAATCAGCCTACCCCTCGTGTYAGAGGGAACCACAGTTCCTTGTGCACATGCACTCTTAGGGCCTGACTTGGGTGCTGTTCCCCACCTCGGTGTAGGGGGACACGCACCGAGAGGCGCCACGGAGCGGGACTAGCAAAGCTGCCACCCAAGGGGGATGCAGCCCCTGCTTTCACGTCATTTTCCCAGCATTCCCTTACTGAGCTGATAAAGCGGCATTCTCATGTTTGAAAAAATCARATTTGTTATAGCAAAAAATACTTCTATTACCTTCTCTCTCTTTCCTTAGTACTAAGCAATAAAGTTTTAAGTGTTGGTGCTGAAAGAAGCATTCTCCTGCCCCCCCAATACCTCACCTTGCTGCAGCTTGGCAGCACAAGCTCCTATTCCAGAGGCACAGAAATTWAGTTGTGTGGTAACATTTGGGAACTTATTACCTGTCAGCTCAGTTTCAGGTCTTCTCTGTTGCTTGGGAAAAGTGGCAGACAATCTTTTAAAAGAAAAGCTAGATCTGTAATGAGATTCTCTCCAGCCTGTTGCACCTCAGAACCATCTTCGTATGATTAAAGTGATTTGCTGCTGCCTTGCTAAATAATGGCAGGATGGGCTTCTGCTCCCCTGGTAAGGGCTTGCTGCGCTGGCAGCATCTGCCTGTGTCCCTCAAAGCTCCAAATCAAAGACAGGCACATTAGAAAAAAAAATTATGTCAGAATTCTTACTTACAGAGCTTACTTACTGTTAAAAAAGTAAGAGATTCAAGGTTGAGCTTTAAAGACTTTTTGATGGGTGTGACTGATATTTGAAAAATGCTTCTAACAGTTCTTTGGTAAGAACAACTCTTTCTTTAAAGCAGTTCCAAAGCATTTGGATAAAACCTTGAAAATAAGTCATTTAACATCACTGTTATCAAGCAGTCTTAGTGAGAACCACATACTTATTTTGAGAGTTTAATAATTGACCTCAACTTTATTAAATCTAGTTCAGCTCATAAAAAAATAACAACCACATTTGATTCTAGGGGTGTTTGTGTGTGTGTGTGTGTGTGTGTGGTGGTGGGGAATCAATAAATGGTGTGAATGCATCTCCTGACAGGTCACTTTTTCTCTATTGGACAGACATTGCCTTTTCTTGTACTTCGAATCTGTTAAGGATGATACGACTTTCATCTTTGCTCTCCATTTTCAACGTTCATAAGTAACAGAAGCAGGAGAAAGTGCAGCTCCCACGAGATGCTGTGGAGGTTTGCTGGGCTGGAACACTAGATGCATTGCTTTAAGTGACAAAAGGGATGAGGTTTGAGTGAGAAATGTAGTAACAGACTCACATTTTCTAYAGTCCTTGCGCATGGTTCCTTCTGTTGAGAACTTCTGAATTAGGGTTTGTTCCGGCTGCCCCTGCCTAGCTCCATCCTTTGCCACACACATTGCTCCTTGTTAACCACCACTTACCTCACAGTGATGCTCTCCGTAGTTTATAAAGTTTCCAACAATATTATGCAGCCATACATTCAAGGGCAGATACCTTCAAATGAGAAAGTCACACTTGAACTACATAAAAAGTTTTATGATGGAAAAATCATTATATTTTTCATTAGGAAATTCCTGCAAGTTCTTTTTGCGTTGCTTTTATTCCGAAAATACGTCAATAATAGATGACGTTACAGATGACCACCGTTAAATTCTGCTCAAAGTCAGTAATTAGAACCATATCTGATTAATTACCAGAAGAGCAATAGAGTGCTGAGCAGTGCAGTTTAATTTATAAACTTTCAAATATGCCGTTAAATTAGTAAACTGGAGGACAAGACACTAATATGCACACGCTGYGAGGCAGACTGACCCCTGAGGTAAAACTGCACTGCGGACACCATCGCAGACTAACCGAATCCGAGCACAGGAGGGAATCTTATCTCCTCCCACGGGGGGCTAATGGAGACTAATTTCTATATAGCTGCTATTTGACAGCTTCCAAGCTGCCTCCTTACCCATGCCTTTACTGGGCCTCCCCGTGACCTCCTGTAAACGTGTGCRTTGCACTAACCCGCCTCGGTCGCACCAGCTGGCTACAATTAACAAGTCAGAAAACGGCAGCACATCCCATGAGCGGAGCCAAGTCATGGCAGGGCCACGCTACAGAAATAACCCTCMAAAATACAACTAGATAGCAAAGATTTTCTTGAGCTGGAGTTACTGGGAACTATTGCCATAACAGAAGTTATTCAAGTCTGCACGTTTCCAGCACTTGCTTTCACAGTGATCCATCCTGCCTAATAGCAACAAATATTTACGTGTATATCCCCACCTGCCACGTTAATGATGGGCAGGTAGTAAATACCTGGGTGAGAGAAAAATGAAGAATATATAATAGAGGATTATATTTTATTTGTTCATCAAAAAGTTACTCACYTCAGCCAGGAAGAATTTTACAGGGTGGCTATAAATATTCTACATAGCCAAATATGACACTCTAATCCTAGGAAATAGCTGTTTCATGGCCACATGATGGATCGTATTATTGTTAAATTTCTGTGATTCAGGTGCACTCCATTTCATTGACTTTCACTGGAAAGATGTTAACGAAGTATATGATAGGATGGGTGATTTTCTATCACACTGAATGTATGAAATTGCCCCTTGCTATCCCTATCCTAGACTTCAAGTCAGCAAATGCAAGTGTCATTGCTCAGATCTGGGACAGCCTGGCCTTTAAGGTGTCTGCAAAGGTGCTCCCATAATAGGATGCCCTTTTCTTAATATTCTTCATTTGGACCCCGATCCTACAAATGCTCATGATCACTGCTGACCATCAATTTGGAGTTCAAAAGACCATTCCTGCACATCTGCACTAAAGATACACTTGCTTCGGATACATATACACGTGCATTTATTAAACATTTGTAGTTGTCAGATGTGTCTGCAGTCTTTCTAAACAGTAAAAATGTAAAGACGACCCACGGCATAATACTTTTGTGCTCCTTCTTTATATTTTCTGAGGAAATTATGGAAAACTTCCTGCGTGCTCAAGTCTGTCTTTTTGAGGCGGGGAGGGAAGGAGAATTTGTTCCCTCTTAATAACATGAAATATTCAGTAACATTCAGACRTGCTACTACTGGTACTACACTAGTCCATTAACTACAGATAAAATAAATATAGGAGGCCTCACAGCTTTGCARGCTGCATGTGTTCAGCGTGGGCTGGGAAAGGCAGGGGCTGTGTGTGCAGCAGCCCCTACATTATTTTGCAGCCTTTCAACATGGTCAAGGGACTGCTTTTGATCAGACACAAGCATCAGCTTGTACTGCAACGTAATCATTACAACTGCTTGCCCAATAATCCTTAAAGATTTCCCCACATGGAGCATACCTTCTTTTCTGTTCCTTGCATTAAAGGTCCTTATCACACAAACCAATAAGGTTTGTGGCTTTTTCTTCTGCATATGCTGTATACTATACACACACACACACACACATATGTGTCTATATATATGCATATATATATATATATATATATATATATATATATAAAGTAAGCAATGAAATCATTCTTCGGTATGCACACATGATCCAAGGAATTGATTAGTTTTTACAGGAGAGAACATAGGCATAATTGAGACCTGCAGTGACAGTCTTTTTAAACAAAGTGACAATTTAGTCAAAAGCACCACCTGATCTGTCAAACAAACTCCTAGGAAAACCACAGCAGTTCATTTTGAGATAAAAGTCAGAGGCATTTTTCTTTTATCACTTGTTCTGCTGTTTTCTTACAATTAGCAAGATACATGTAGCAGAACCTAAGGCAAATCTAGTAAGAGAAGTACAACTTGCACACAAATGGYAGATTTTTAGGTGG